TTCTCCCCAAGACTCACTTCATCGCCTCTCTAGAGAGGGACAGTGCATTATTTTCAGACTAAGGACTGGGCACAACAGATTTCGTCAACATATGTTCACATTTTTTGGTGTAGGAAACACGGAGACATGTCGCTGCAGCGGGGCACCCAAAAATGCTGAGCATGTGCTCCAACACTGTCAACTGTATGCTGACAACAGAGACGCAATCTGGCCTGTTCCAACCACACTGAAGACAAAACTGTATGGTACACGAGAGGATATGGATTGCACGATAGCTTTAGTAAAGGCTACCGGCCTCCTGATAAAAGTTTTCTGACAAAAGGATCGAAGAAGAAGAAGACTGATAAACTCTGCACATGAATGTGTGGGCATCACTGATTAACTCTGCACATGAGTGTGTGGGAAAAGCAATTAAGGACGTTTAATACCCCCCATCCCTCCACAGACACCCTCAGTATTGTACAAGATTTAAACAAAAATAATTCTGTTCGTTAATAAGCACAACAAAAAAGTAAATCTTTTGTGTGTCTGTGTGTGTGTTTAAAAAGGATATCTGCTCAGTAACTACAGCAACGCCAACCACATATCACAATCGAAAAAAAAAAGAGGTAAAAAATATCACAGATTTCAAATACTTGGACTCTTTAGTGAACAACAGTGGAGACTGCTCGAAAGAAATCAGAAGAAGACTTGCAATAGTAGTGCAGAGATCGAACATCACAAAGAACCTGTGACAAAAGCACCTGTAATTTAGCTAAAGTGAAAATCTTGAGAAAAGGCATTTTTCCTGTGGCAAGTTACGGTTGTGGGTCCTAAACTGTCACTGAATCATTGAAGTTTGTTTGAGTATCCAGAAGCCATGAGTTGTTAACCCTTAGGCTCGGTATTATGGATATCGCAACCTTTCGGCCTTGATTCCATTGTAAATACCGTAAATCTGGGAGAAATGTGGCTTTTTTTTTGCCTACCCCCGGGAGTGAACCCGGACCACAAGGAATTCGTCACCCGCTCACCGCGCAATCCGGTTTAGCCAACTACGATAGAGAGACGGGCGAATCACTGAAGAAAAAGGATTGGAATTAAAATTCTTCAGAACAATTCTCAGAATACCATGGATCAAGAAATGGAAAAACAACGACACTTCACATGAGTTAAACATCAAGAAGAAATGGCTCATAAACAGCGTCCTTTCCCGAAAGTTAAAGTAATTTGGTATTCTTGAAAGTTAAAGTAATTCGGTATTCTTGAAAGTTAAAGTAATTCGGTATTTTTGAAAGTTAAAGTAATTCGGTATTCTTGAAAGTTAAAGTAATTTGGTATTCTTGAAAGTTAAAGTAATTTGGTATTCTTGAAAGTTAAAGTAATTCAATATTCTTGAAAGTTAAAGTAATTCGGTATTCTTGAAAGTTAAAGTAATTCGGTATTCTTGAAAGTTAAAGTAATTTGGTATTCTTGAAAGTTAAAGTAATTCGGTATTCTTGAAAGTTAAAGTAATTTGGTATTCTTGAATGTTAAAGTAATTTGGTATTCTTGAAAGTTAAAGTAATTTGGTATTCTTGAAAGTTAAAGTAATTCGGTATTCTTGAAAGTTAAAGTAATTCGGTATTCTTGAAAGTTAAAGTAATTTGGTATTCTTGAAAGTTAAAGTTAATTAGTACACCAAACGTCACTGTTGCTTGGAAAAGACGGTGATGGAGGATACAGTTTGTTGGAAGCGAAACAGGAGTCGACCTCAGCGACAATGGATACATGACACTGCAGATGTGTTGGCATTCAAAGCGCATGAGGCTAGACAGCTGGCTAGGGAACGGGATACTTTCAGGCGTGCCATGGAGAGAGCGACGTTCTGTAAAGGACCTGCTGATTGATGGTGAAATATACCGTGCAGGACGTGTACAGTGCAGTTTGAGTGTAAAATGATCAATGGTTACTGAGTTTTAAGCTACCAATAAATCTCATGATGTCATTAAATTGCATGTTCTCACTGAGATATTTTGCTGTCACTGAGTATTCTTTAAAAAAAAAAAAAAAAAGAATTGAGTTTCAAGACGCTACTTTGTTTCATACTGTCACTGAATTCCATGTTGTCATCACCATTACTGAGTTTCATGCTGTCATTTAGTTTCTGATAAAAATAAATTAAAGTAAAGATTCCCTTTTTACGCCTTTAGGCGCATCGGGCATGTGGAAAGAGCTCCCTTATTTTTACAGACCAATCGGCACTAGGTGGGTGATGTGGTCAGCATTACACCAGCCGTCTTTACTTCCCCAAGACATACATCATAGCTTCCGATTTGCATTGAGATTAATATTGTTTTTCAGTTTCATCATACTGCGTTCACTGAAGTTATTTAATTTCAGTCTGTAACATCCCTTCCCCTCTCCTTGTTCACTTTGATTTATGAGTTTGAAGAGGCTGTCAAAATATTCCATATTATGTCAACAGAAGGACGCAGTTATGCAGCTCTGCACTGAATAGATACAACACAATTAATTACAT